CCCCAAAACCCCAAAACCCCGTCAGTAAAAAAATAGAAGCATTTTCAAGTTATCAAAAGTTTAATAATATTTGAAATTTATAAATTTAAAATGTCGGAGGAAGACTAGTAGTAATAAGAATAATCAACTTTAAAATTTGGAAGGTTAAGAATGCTTAACCCAATTCATAATTTTAAAAAGGTTTTTGCTAAATAAGCTGAGCAATAATGTAAGCAACATTAACTCAATCTTATTTTTAAAATACAGGGTAAATGGCTAATGCAGTACTATTGAATGTATTTGTGTAAATGATTACACTATTTTTCATGTATCTCACCTCGGATAATATATGTAAGGAAGTATGTCTCTAATAAATCTTAGTGATAAGAATGGATTTAGAAAACAATGAGTCAAGAACTGTTTTGGCAGCATTCCTAAATCCTCTAATGTGGATATCTCTAGTTCACCAAAGAAACAAACACTTCAAGATCCCATCGATTTTAGGCTATTTGATCTTGAACATATTTTTCATGAGTCATGTTTACCTCCAAAGTGTTATTGTTATGCATTAAGGACCAGTGCCAGTGTTTTTCTTTTTGTTCCTTTATCTTGGTGATCAAGTATTCACCTATTTTTATCTCCTGCTTTAGGATTACATCTATCCTGTTGGAGTATTTGGCTTTTGTGCAGCACCCAAAGTTACTTTTACTCTTGGATTCTACTTTTATTATGATGATTAGCTTGATGTGATTATGCTAAATTCTATCTTGACTACAATTATTTGTGTAGTGTAAGGACTTGCGATGGAAGAATTGTTAAGAGATTGCTATGATGAGAAGATCGATAATTTCGGAGTTATTGATTACTACGTTCTCATTTACTTAGATATCAAGTACATCCTGAAAAAAGCATACCTAAACGGCATTGATCATGTTTTAGATTTTAAAGATTGGATTTACAGTAAAAAGAGAGTTCAAAAGAGACTTCAGGGAATGTCAGAATCGGATAATAAAGATAAAACTGATTGAATACTCTTGATTAATTAACTTATCAGATTGCGAATTGAGACCTTTCCAAAAGTATGGGGTTTTGGGGTTTTGGGGTTTTGGGG